AAATTCCAGCCGAGATCTTGAGCGGTCCAGATCGTCTGTAGGTTTGGAGGGCTATTATCTAGCACCCTGGAAGGTCAGGAGAGAAAAAGCAGGCCTCTCCGGAAGGCGGCGAGACTTCTCAGCAGTCCTCCAGCCTTCCGGGCAATGTTTTCTGCGTCTTCGGGGGAGGCTTCAGGAACTTCTCAGAAGGCCATGGGACTTCCGAGCCCCCTGGGAAGGCATTCTCCTCCTCGTTTCCCCCCTCGCTCGCCGCCGCGTCGGGGAATCAGACACTTCCGCGGGGCACCCGCTGGCAGGCCGATGTGCTCGTTCGATGTGTCTGGTGAGCGGAGCGTTTTCTTATTCGGCGTTTCGACATTGGGCGGAACGGGGGGGGTGAAGGCGGGCGACTTGCTCCGGACCTCTACTTAGTGCGACTGTTTGCAGCAGTGCATCCTATGGGGGGAACTCCACCTGCTAAAACCAGGCGCCCAAAACAGCCAAATTCTGCTCTCCTTGGGGGGGAGGGGGGAGGGGGTGCGAGGGCCCGCGCCGATCGGAAAAACAGTGAATAAAAAACGATCGCCTGCTGAAGAAGACGAAGAAAAGAAAGAAGACGAAGAAAATAAAGAAGACGAAGGAGAACATTAATAAGAAGAAAACGAAACAACGGCATAAACAGAAACTTTTGGCGCTCCGCGCAGATTTCTGGGATCTGCGCGGGGCCCAGCGCGGATCCGAGACATCCTCGCGGAGCGCCACAAGTTCACGGTCATGGCGCTTCTCCTCCTCGAGAGGGGGCGCGAGGGCTCGCGCCGATCGGAAAAACAGAGCCTAAGAGAAAGATCACCTTCTGTCTTTGCTGTTCCGGGATCTTCTGACGTCAACCCAGACCCTGGTCAGCCAGGACTTGCACTATCCTGCAAGATCCTGCGAGATCCTGCACCCCAACCCGGGTCAATGCACAGGATCCTGCCAGATCCCAGATCCTGCAGGATCCTGCACCCACACCCGGGTCAATGCGACCCTGGCCCTGTAGGATCCTGCAAAGTCCGGCGCTCTGGCCGACCCCCGCTTGCACCGACCCCCGTCTGCATGGAGCCCCGAGCTGTCTCCCTTGGGCGCCCGAGTTATCCGGGGTAACTCGGGTCCGGGGTAACTCGGGTTCGGATTCCCGAAAAAGGAACCCGAGTTAGCCCTGACCCGAGTTACCCCTGATGATTCGGGGCTCTGGACGCCCGAACTATCCGGGGTAAGTCGGGTCCGGGGTAAGTCGGGTTTGGATTCCCGAAAAAGGAACCCGAGTTAGCCCTGACCCGAGTTACCCCTGATGATTCGGGGCTCTGAGTCAATGCGACCCTGGCCCTGTAGGATCCTGCAAAGTCCGGCGCTCTGGCCGACCCCCGCTTGCACCGACCCCCGTCTGCATGGAGCCCCGAGCTGTCTCGGGTCGGCGCGAAAGGGGGGGATAGCAAAGGGGGGGTTTGAGAATCAGCTCACGTAGCTGATTTTCCCGGCGCCTCCCGGCGCCGGAGGCGGCTATGTATCGAGGAATGGGCCCCTCGGTGAGGCCGAAACCAGCTGCATGCAGCAAATTTCGTAACGCCCCCTTTCCCAATCCCCCCCTTTCGCCCGGCCCGACTGTCTCCCTGCTTCCTGCTCCGGCCCGCGGGCCCCTCGGGGCAGGCGCCCCGGCGCGCGCGCCGCCCTCGCGGGAGCCCTCGGCAGGGCCACGACGGGCCGCGCCCGAGCGCTCGGCGCGCCTCTCCGGAGGCCGCCGCGGGGGCGCGTCGCGGTCGCGGCCTAGCTGCAGCTGCAGTGCCGGGGCTCGTGCCGCACGATCCACCGCCACGTCAGCAGGAAGGGGAAACAACGGCAGGAACATTCCCCAATCAGCGCTGGCACTGAAGGGGCCCCAGCGGAAAATAAAGGAAGGTTTGGCGAACATTCCCAATCGAGTTTGGTAGCAATCTGGGATCCCCGGTTCCCGCATATTGGTTCCGGGCCGATTTCAATGGGTTTTGGGTTCCTGGGCTCCCGGGTTCCCGGTCGATCTCCTCAGCGAAAACCATCCACTAATTGGGTTTTTCTCTGATGTAAAGAACTTCCGACGCCCCGCTTATGCCGACATGCTGGCGAAATGCCGAGCGAATATCGCCGCCCAGGGTCCGACACGTGAAAACCGTCAAGTTACGATACTGTCTTTGTGCTCGAAATTATTTCTGGTGATCAAGCCTACAATCGGATGGCACATCATAGCGCTCCGCGCGGATCTCTTGGATCTGCGCTGGACCCCCCTCCCCTGGCGCGCGGAACGCGCCAGGGGCGGCGCCGGGGGCGCCGCCAGGGGGGGCCCGCGCAGATCCAAGAAATGCGCGCGGAAAATCCAAAGTTTATGTTTATGCCGTTTTTTCTTCTTCGAGTCAGGTTGACGCGCAGGCGGACGTTGCCGCCCTTGGGCACGCGGTGCTCGTAGTGGCACTGCGTGAGCCCCTCCATCGTGCACACGTCCCCGCTGCGGAGCCGGAGCTTGCAGCGGAGCTTGTCCTCTCCGCGGAGGCGGAGGTCGAAGTCGCGCGTGGCCCCCAGGGAGAGCGATATGATGCGGCAGTCGGCCGTTCGGCCCTGGAACAGGGCCTCGTCGTCCGAGTGCCATCCGATGGCGTCGCTCCCGTCGGCGTAGCAGTTGAGGTTGCAGCTGTTGGGCCACTGAGATGGCGACGCCAGCCCACAGCGAGGCATGATCTCCTTCATCACCCCCTGCATCCACGCGGGGAACCTGACGGCGTCCACCGTGACCCCGCCGTAGCGGTAGGGGCACTGGCAGCCCGCGGCCACCATCCACTGGGTGCCTCTGGACATGGCGCCCATGCCGACGGGCTTCTCCCAGCCGACCGCGTCCATGCCGTCCATCACCCGCCGGAGCATGGCCTTGGCGCCCGCCTCGTCCACGGCGTCCGGCAGGTACCCGACAAAGCAACGCCGCTTGGCGTCGGCGCACGGGTAGTGCCACGGCGTGCCCCTCGGCGCGCCGGCTCCCAGGAGCTCCAGGCCGCCGCACTCCTGGGCCTTGGCGGCGGCGCGCCGAAGGGACCCCGAGCACCTGTTCGGGCGGCGCGCAATCTCGGAGCCGTCCGCGGCTGCGGGGAGCGGGCACGCCCGCCCCGGCTTCGAGCAGCGCGCCGCCACCACGTTGGCCTTGCCGCCGCGCTGGCCCGTCCAGTCCACCAGCACCTCCTTCTCCAGCTGGCTGCCGCAGGAGTCCCAGGAACGCTCGCCGTCGGTGTCCTCGGCGCTGCTCTCGCCCGCGCCGGGCCGACCCTCCCCCAAGGGCGGCGCGCGCGGCGGCTGGCCCCCCGCGAGAGCCGCGGCGGGGAACCACCCCAGGGCGCCGCCTCGCTCGAGGCGCCCGTAGAGCCAGCCGCCGTCGCCCCCCGCCGCCGACCCCACGTGCTCGACCACCACCGCATCTCCCGTCGCCAGCGGCGAGGCGCCGACGTAGAGCCAGCCGCCGTCGCCCCCCGCCGCCGACCCCACGTGCTCGACCACCACCGCATCTCCCGTCGCCAGCGGCAGGTAGCCCGCGGCCGCCGCCTCGACGCCCCTCGCGACGACGGCGCGGCCCAGACGCGGCGCGGCGGCTGCCGCGCCGCCGCCGCAGGCCGCCACGGCCGCGCCGGGCGGCGCATGCCAGGCCTCGGCCTCCTGCCGCGCGGCGCCGGGCGGCGCCCGGCCCGCGCCGCTGCCGGGCGCCGGGCCGCCGCCGACGCCCGCGACGCCGCGGCCAGCTGGGTGCCGGCGCGTCGCACCCGAGCTGGCCCGCCCGCCCAGCCTCGAGCTCCCGGGCACGGGCCCAGCCGCAGCCTGCCCCTCGCCTCGCCGACGCCGCCTGCGCGCAGCGGAGCTCCAGCCACGCCCCGCGGCTGCCCAACCTTCGGGGCGCCCGCTCGCGGCCTCCCGCGCCTCGGCGCGCGGGCCCGCGCCGTGGCGCGGCGGCGACGGCGCCGCGCAGGTCGCCGCGGGGGGCGCCGCCGCGGGGGGCGCCGCCGCGGTGGCGGGGCGCAGGTCGCAGCAGCGCGCCCAGCCCTGTGCCCCGGAGGCGGTCGGCTCGGTGGTTGCCAGAGGCGTCCCTGGCCCCAGGTGAGCGACGATCCCCAAACGGATCTCACGCGAGGTGACGCAGCGACCTTACGCGGCGGTTGACGCGGGCCGCCCGCGCGGCACGCCACAATGGAGACGAGGGTGATTACGCGCGACCTTACACGGGCAGCTCACGCGCCAACGCCGGCGCCGACGACCCCATTTTTTCCTTTGTCGCACAGGTGTCCCCACATTTCGCGCTCCCTTCCAGAGCTCACGGGGCCCTCTGGGCCTCTGGAGGCCACCCAGATGGGGTCGTAGAAGATGGACTCGGAGGATGGAGCAGCATCGCCAATGCATCCGCGATGAAGCAGGCTCCACATCGCACCGCATCGCGGATGTATGGGCGACGCGGCGCGATCCTCCGACCCCCTCTACTCCGACCCCATCTGGAAGACCTGGAGCCTCGTGAGGGGTGCTGCGGAGGCCGTGGGAACCTCATTGGAAATCCTGGGGGGCACCCTGGACCAAGCATGCTATTTGACAACACCCGGTCTGGGCGAAGCACCAGCCCTCCTCGTCGGCCTCCTGGCCGACGTACCTCACGAGCACCTCGTCGCCAGAGCCGAGCGCAAGGTAGCCCTCCCCGTCGGCGGTCACGCCGTGGCTGGCCACCGCCCTGCCGCCGGGTAGCATCGGCGCCCGACTCGATCGAGGATCGGCTGCGGCCCGCAGCTGGCAGCGACGGCTACGGACTCGGAAGGGGAATGGGGGAGGCGAAGGAGGACGAGGAGGCGGAGGAGGCGGAGGAGGAGGAGGAGGAGGAGGAGGAGGACGTCGAAGACGAAGACGAGGGCTCTGCAGCAGAAGGGGGAGTGAGTAGGGCAAGGAGGGGGAGGAAGGGATGAGGAGAAGAGAAGGAGGGAACATGGCGAGAGGGAGCAGGGAGAGAGGAACAGAGGGGAGAAGGAGAAAGGGATGAAGAGGGGAGGTAGAGGGGGGCACAGAGGGAGGGTGGACGAGGGGGGAGGGGGGAGAAGACCAGAACTGGTCTTGTTCATCACCTGCGCATCCACTTGGCAGCGTCTTGGCAACGTCTTGGCAACCTCTGCCAACCCATTTGCCAACCGTCAGAAGTTAGCGATGTATCCCTCCTGCTGTAGCTCATTGCCAATCCTTCCAACGTCTGGGCACTCTCGCTGTATGCTACCGTAGCGCAACCCCGCCCAAAACGTTCGTGCAAGGCCGCTGGCGCTGAGGTGCCGACTCAAGTGAAATCCACGCGGGTGCTGGGCCACCTCTAGAGAGAGGGAAACCCACCCTCATAACAAGCACCCACACGAGCGAAGCCGTTTCGCACACACAGGAAGGAATCGAGCAGGGCAGGGGTGTCTAGTGAACGCCCAGGACCGCTCAGTAAACGACAGTGCTAGGGGTCGGGGTGGTGGTGGTGGTGGTAATGATGATGATGATGATGATGATGATGATGATGATGATGATGATGATGATGATGATGATGATGATGATGATGATGATGATGATGGTGTGATGCTGTTGATGATGTGACGATGTGCTCCAGACGGCTCCAATATGCTGCTCTGCTCCTCTGCTCCTCCCCCCCCCTTCCGACGGCGAGGGGGCGGGCGGCGGCAGCGGCGAGAGGCCGCATCGCGGCCGCCCCCCCGTCGCCGTCGGAAGGGAGGGCGGGCAACACCATCTCCTCTGGGAGATGGACGCCCGCATTTGGGTACGGAAAGTGGGCCCGTACGATGCCCAACAGCACACGTCGCCCAAAGCCGACAGCGGCCGCTGTGGGGCAGACGACTTTCTGCCTCCGATGGGCAGCGCTCGCGGCAGCAGCGCAAACGAGCCCCGTTCTGCAGCAGCAGAATCTGCTGTAGGTCTTCGCCCTCACGCTTCTCGTGTCCACTTTGATTGACGGGCCAACTTCCCACAACCACCACCACAGGCAGGGCGGGGGCGAAGGGAGGGGAGGTATTCTTCCTCCTGCTCCTCCTCCTCCTTGCTCAATCCTGAGATTGTAGCGTCTGTACCTCCTCCTCCTCCTACTCCTTCTCCTCCTCCTCTTGCTCTCTCTCCTACTCATGGTGGCGGTGTTGGAAAATCGGCCCATCATCGATCGTTCCGATGGACGCCCCCGAACCTCCTCCATGACATGAGGGAAACTGGTCCGACGCAAAGGCAACGGGCCCTGGACCCCGATGCCTTCCCCCAAAGCGAGATCTTCATCCCGAGACGTCTTATGACGGTCCTGGGGCCCGGGAAGGGCCCCGAGAGCCGGAAGACGGCAAAACACCTCAGGACCCGCTTCCCTCAAGACTCGTTCCCCGATGGCGACTCGCCTACGCTCAGACGTCTATTCCCCGTGCGTTGTTCTGCTTCGCGCGTGTATGCTTTGTAATCCAAGATTATCCTCCATGGATCTCGCCGAGAAGAAAAACACCCGCCCGAACGATGCCAAGGCGAATGTTAGGAAGCAAATGCTGGTTGGTCTCCGTCGGAAAGATTGAAGAGTATTATACCCCATTCAGGGGCCGGTACGCCAAATTAGGCCGCGGATTCAGCAAGACTGAACTAGATTAGCGGGATCAAGCCGGATTCGGCGGGATTGAGAAGCTGGATGGAACCAGATTCCGGACCTGGGCTAAGCCAGAAATTACCCCCCCATGTTCTGAGCCTCCTCCCCTCCCGACCATGAGAAATCCAAAAGGTACTGATACCGCGACTCCCTGGACCTCTTCCGGGGGACGTTCTGACCACAAGTTCGAGGCGAACCCAGCGGTGGCGACGAGGGCCTCCCAGGAGGCACAAAAAGAGAAGGTAGTGGTATGGGTACGGCAAGTTCGTGTCGTGTTGGTGTTGGTTTCTGACACCGCGGATATCTTTCAACCCTGCACGATCGGGCGTTTCCGAAACGTCAGCTCCGTCATCATCGACCGATTCTGGGTCGCAAGGCGACGTTCAAAGCTGAACGCCGGCGGCGGCGAGGTCGACGCCGGTCGGCACGACGCGAACCTACCGTACCTTTTCCGCCTCCCCTCCCGACCAAAGGGGGAAGAGCCGCCGCTGACGGGCGCCTCCCTCGGCCTCCTCCCGGGGGTCTGAGGGATGGGGTCCTCAAGCAATGAAGAGCCACCCTTGGATCCCGTCCTACCCTCAGGACCCCATCCATCAAGACCCCATCTTTGAACCACCGATGCTCCCCTCCCGACCACGGGGTCGACACGACGCGAACCTACCGTGTACCTTGTCCTCCTTCCCTCCCGACCACCGGGGGGGGGGGCCGCCGGCGGCGGGCGCCTCCCTCGGCCTCGCGCACCGCGCAGCGCGACCCGGTGGCCCGCACGACGCGACCAGGCAGGCCGCCGGGCACCTCTGGCGCGGGCAAGCGGCTCACCGCGGCAAAGCGCGCGGTCGGTCCTGAATCTGCAGAAGGAGCTCGACCTCGTCCTCCTGCTCCTCCTCCTCCTCCTCCTCCTTCTCCTCCTCCTCCTCCTCCCCCTCCTCCTCCCCCTCCTCTTCCTCCTCCCCCTCCTCCTCCCCCTCCTCCTCCCTCCTCCTCCCTCCTCCTCCTCCTCCTCCTCCCTCCTCCCCTTCTTCCTACCATTGTTCATCATTTTATTTCGATGTGATGATTATGATTATTATGATTATTAGGATTACTATTATTATTCTTATTATCATTATTATTATTATTATTATTATTATTATTATGATTATTATTATGAGTATTATTATTACCATTCGTAGTAATTCGTATGCTCTTATGATTATTATTCGTGTGAGTATTATGATTATGATTACGATTACCATTATTACTTTTTATTGCTATTATCATTTATTCGTCTTCGTCTTCGTCTTCGTCTTCGTCTTCTTATTATACTTACACGGGGGACGGTCAGATAGCGTCTGCTAAACTCGAAAAGTGGGTGTTCCATTTGCCTGGCGCGCGCATGGGAAACACACCCTTGTTCGTTGCGCTATCTGTCTGTCACCCTTTCAACGCGTCTTGAAATGTTCCCTCCCGCCGAATTGTGCTATCTGTCTGGTGCGCCCCCCCCCCCTCGGGGCATCGCGACATTGCTCGGGTGCTCAAACAAAATTGCAGGCTCGATCGAGACATCCTCAAACATGATTTCGGAGGGGGACCACGAGATCGGCGAACAGTGGGCGATTGGGGGTCGATGCGTCCCCCCTATGCCTATCACCCCTGTCGTGGCCCCTGATCCTCCCTCCTCCCTCCTCCTGCCCTTAGGAAGGCACCAACTATACACCAACACCGATCCTGGCCAGGATCACCCTGGGCCCAGGATCGGTGTATACACCCTCCTGCCTTGGGCAAGAAGGCATATACACCGATCATGGGCCCAGGGTGATCCTGGGCCAGGATCGGTGTTGGTGTATAGTTGGTGCCCTCCTCCTGCCCTGGTCCCTCACCATTTTTCCCTCCTCCTCGACCTCCTCCGAGCGGGCGGCCTCGAGCCACGGGAGCCCCCGCGGCCCCCCCCCCCCCACCATCACTGTGCTATCTGTCTGCCCCCCCGCTTCGGGAGGGGAGAGGAGGAGGAGGAGGGAGGAGGGAGGAGGAGGAGGAGAGGAGGAGGAGGAGGAGGAGAGGAGGAGGAGAGGGGAGGAGGAGGAGGAGGAGGAGGAGGAGGAGGGGGGGGGGTGGCACCGTGAGGCGCCTCCTCCTCCCTCTGGCCTCCGAGGCGCCCCCCGCGTCGCCTCTGAGAGTGCTGGATCCGGCTCGGCATCCTGGCCACAGCGCGCTCCAGGGGGCGGCCCTGGGGCCTCCGAGCTGGCGGCCCCGAGCCCCCACCCCCGCTGCCCCCCTCTTCATTGTGCTCTCTGCCTGCCCCCCCCCGCTGTGGGGAGGGGGGGGGGGGCATCGTCAGACGCCTCCTCCTCCCTCTGGCCTCTGAGGCGCCCCCTTCGTCGCCTCTGCTGGATCCGACGGCTCGGCATCCTGGCTCGCCAGGCTTACTGCCTTGCCCGACCACCACTACCCCAAAAATGTCATCGCGAATATCACTGCAGTGACTTTGGCGATGACATTCGTTCACCGCCGCGAATGTCGCTGCGTTGACTTTGGCGATGATTTTTGTACGCTTGATTCTGCGCAGGACACTCATCACCCAGGATCGAGCATGAGCTTGAAGGCCGCGGAATGTTCAGTGCTCCTGTATTTTGGGCTACATATTTCAGAGGAGAACGGCGGGACAGATGTGTTCGGCGGTGCTACGATGGGCGCAGGTCATGCCTTAGTCAACTTGTTGGCGTCACTTAAAGACGCTAGCCCAGTGCCATCGAAGACCAGCATGCGCACCATCTGACTCCAAAGCATCATTTATTGTGCCACCTCGTTCACAGGACCCAGGGTAATAAACAACACTGTCCCATCAAAATTGTTTCACCTGGTCTCTCTTGTGCGCTTTCCCGTTTCCACCTCTGCCTCATCCGCGTGCAGCGCCTCCCCCTGGCCCTGGGTCTCGGACGATGTCGGGGCCGTGGTCGGATCGGCGGCCAGCAGGTTCAATAATGGACCCTCCCAGCCCCGTCCATGGACATATCGAGCGGGCTCCAAGAGCAGGGGCGATGGGGGTAAGTTTGACGGGAGGTGGGCGGTGGCCACGAGGGGTGAGAAATGGTAAGACGGGCGCAGATCGTCTTGGATCTGGGCCCCCCCGACGGCCCAAGAGGTCCCAAACACAGCTTAAGAGAAAGAGAGAGAGAGAGAGAGCGAGACGTATATACCTATCTATCTATCTCTATCGATCTATCTATCTATCTATCTATCTATATGTATGTATATATATATATATTTAATTATCCGCCGGCCCCCTTGTGGGGCCACCAGGCTGTAGGCCGAAGGTTCGCAGTTTCCTGTACCAGTTGCAGATTCCAGTTTCCACTGTTACAGTTCTGCTTCTGGCTGCTTACTGTTCCTTGTTGATGAACCGCGCGAGGGGGAGGAGGCCCAAATGGGCAGGTTTAGCACGCCCTGAGCGTGATGTCTGAATTGCTGGGGTGCGTAACAATTGGCACCCCTCACGCAGATCGGCGGGGTCAGGGTGCAAAGACACAGGGGATTTGCCACATTTCTGACATTCGGTGGCCCCCCTCACGCAGATCGGCGGGGTCAGGGTGCAAAAAACACATGGGATTTGCCACATTTCTGAAATTCGGTAGCACCCCTCACGCAGATCGGCGGGGTCAGGGTCCAAAAACACATGGGCCATGGGATTTGCCACATTTCTGAAATTCGGTGGCACCCCTCACGCAGATCGGCGGGATCAGGGTCCAAAAACACATGGGATTTACCACATGTTTAAAATTCGATTGCACCCCTCACGCAGATCGGCGAGGTCAGGGTCTGAAAACCCATGGGGCCTAACATTTCTGAAATTCGGTGGCACCCCTCACGCAGATCGTCAAGGTCAGGATCCAAAAACACATGGGATTTGCTACATTTCTGACATTCGGCGGCACCCCTCACGCAGATCCGTAGGGTCAGGGGCAAAAACACATGGGATTTGCCACATTTCTGAAATTCGGTGGCACCCCTCACGCAGATCCGTAGGGTCAGGGTCAAAAAACAAACAGGTCCCAACACTGCTTCACGGTGGCGCCCAGACCTCATGATTTAGGTTTTGCATCTCCCCTTATCCGAGACAGGGGGCCGGCGGCATGGGGCGAAGCCCTTACGGAGGTGTGTGTATATATATATATATATATATATATACACATAGATGTATGTGAATATACGCGTCCAAAAAGACCCTGAGTGGCTCCAGAGAGGGAGCAGCTGACACTGAGTTGCGGTGCCGGCGCCGCGGTTGCAAGGATGTCTCGAGCGGCGGCCTCGCTGCTGTGAGGATGTCCCAAGCGGCGGCGCCGCGGATGTGAAGATGTCTCGAGCGGCGGCGCCGCGGTTGCGAGGATGCCCCGAGCGGCGGCTCCGCAGCTGCGAGGTTGTCCCGAGCGGCGGCTCCGCGGCTGCGATCATGTTTCGAGCGGCGGCGCCATCCCGCTCCCCCCCGCTCTGCCACTTCTTGGAAGCGTGCTATCTGGTTGTCCCCCTCCGCGTTGCTCCTCAGGTCTGTCTTCAAAGAGGACACACGCTCTATTTGATATGCTCGGGGTTGAGGGTCTGGAAGGTCACGCGTGCTAACTGATCTTTCCGGCTTTTCACTCCATCTGACCGTCCCCCCGAATAATATGATTCGTTTTCATCTTCCTCATTTTCTTCCTCCTCCTCCTCCTCATCCGCCTCCTCCTCCTCCTCCGCCTCTTCCTCCTCCTCCTCCTCCTCCGCCTCCTCCTCCTCCTCCTCCACATACTCCTCCGCCTCCTCCTCCTCCACCTGCTCCTCCTTATCCTCCTCCTCCTCCTCCTCCTCCTCCTCCTCCTTGTCCTCCTCCTCCTCCTCCCTCTCTCATCCTCCTCCTCTCACCTCCTCCCCCCCTGCTGCTCCTCCTCCTTTGCCTCCCCAGTCCTCCTCCCCCCTCTCCCTCCTCTCCTCTCCTCTGCTCCTCCTCCACCATCCTCCGCCTCCTCCTTCTCCTCCTCTCCCTCCTGCTCCTCCTTCCCTCCTCCTCCTCCTCCTTCTCCTCCTTCTCGTCCTCTTCCTGGAGGAAACGAACACACGGCAGAAACATAGCATATTTGTTTGGCGCACCACGCGGGTTTCTTGGACCTGCGCTGTACCCCCCCCCCTCCCCTGGCGCGCGGAGCGCGCCAAGGACGGTGCCGGAGGCGCCGCCAGGGTGGGGCCCAGCTCCGATCCAAGAAATCCGCGTGGAGCGCACCAGGACGTCCATTGATTTTTTGGTGTGGGAACGTCACGCATTCCATAGCAAAACCCATCGAAACCCAAGAAGCACATGGCACCCTGGAGGCCAACAGGATGTTACTTCGCTTGGTTTGCCACTGTACAGTCGGATTTGATCGGACAGTGCACGCGAGGGGACACAAGACGCTTCCGAGGGCCACACTGCCACAGAGAGCTCAAACAGCATAGGGTCAACCCGTATCCGAAGGATACGCGGTAAGGGTGCAAGGGCCTCGGAGGCCCATGTTAACGATTCTGCGAACGAGGTTGGCCAGCGAAGGTCGCTGATGATGGGCCGAAGGGGCAGGGATACAAGGGATCCTTGGGAAGGTTGCCCATCCTTACTATGCGAGTTGACTGTATACAGAGGCCTCCCATCCAGGGTCCGAGTAGATGGGGTTGGAGGGTCGCGCCGCACCACCGATGCATCGGCGCTGCGTCGGCGACGCATCGACGATGCATCGGTGACGTCGGCAGTGCAGCGGCTCGAAGTTGGGCTCCGCATCGAGCCACATCGGCGACGCATCGGCGATGCAACGTGATCCTCTGACCCCATCTGCTCGGACCCCATCTGGGAGGCCTAGATCTA